GTTAACGCCGTAATTTATCGGATTCAAATAATAAATGACATTGTTATTGGATATGCAGAAAATATTGTGGAGCATTCCATCATGGTTGGCGATAATGCGAGATCACACAAAGCAAGAATTGTTTAGGAGCTTTTGGGGGAGCATAACATGCAACAGCTACACCTGCCTCCAAAATCTCCTGATCTTGTGTGGTCTCAGCCTAAGTTACTGGTACGATCGCGCAAAAAGCTCCCAAACGCTGGATGATTTCGCCCTTGACATAGAAGAAGAGTGGCAAAATATCCCTCAGGCATTCATTAATCTCGTGGGTGACAACATGCCACGGCGTTGCCAAGAGGTTGTGAATGTGAGGGAAGGGCTAATAGCTAATAATTAAATAACTTTGATTATCGGCCGTTCTTTATTAATTTTTTTTAGTTCACGTTGTTTATTACTCAACTTTTAGGTAACTTTGTTGTTATTGAATCTTAGTTTGATTAGTTTTTTAGTTCGCTTATTTTGATACGTTTTACCTAGGTATCTACCTAACTAAACTGAAAGTACTTCTTAACGCATTTAAAGTAGGGGAAATTCAGATGTTACCGGTTGACAACGGCGCGCAACGTTGTATGATTTGAATAAACATTTTCAAATAAATAACACGTGTCGATTCATTTTGTTATTTCTAGCTGTCAGTGGTCTTGATAATTTATTATTACATTCTGGTAAGTTATAAGGAAAAAAATAGGCATTGACAACATTGTCAGTCCTTGTTCTACGACATCATCCTAAATATAACGTAAAAAAACCTATAGGAACACTTTTTGTGTTTTGTTTTAAATAAACTTAAAGAAGCATTAACGTTGTTCGTGTATTTTTTTGTTTGGCAGATAATGTACTTTACCATCCTTAACTTTATTTTTTGTTACTGCTACTATTAGTGGAAGAATTTTTAATTGAAATACCTTTAAACATGAAGCTACAAAGAAAATTAGCAGGTAATAAAAATTCGGGTTTCCTCTCACCACAACGAAATCGGTTCCGAATATTTAAATTTTATCAGTGGTATTAATAATTATTAGCACGCCACTGTATAGCATATCATTGAGGTACCTATTCGAAATTTTTAATCATAAAAATACGCTAATCGAAAGATATAAAAATTGCCAATAAAATTGATTTAATAGAAAATAATAATTTCTGTTTGCACGCTACTGTACAGCATATCATCGAGGTATTCGATATTTTTAATCATAGTAAATACGCTGGCTGAAAGGTATGACAATTGCTAAAAAAATTCACCGGTAAGAACGATTCAGGATGGTTTAGAACGGAAAAGTTGAAAAAATTAATATGGTATATTAAATAAACGATATTTTAAAAACAAAGGCAAATATCAAAATTTTGAGAAATTGGTTTCTTAATAATATGTCAATGATTAAAGTGAACTAAACAAATGAAACTTCAAATGATTATTTTTGAAATTATGTACCTTTGAATGTAAAAATCGGTGAGCCATTAATAAATTATTCCAAAAATGGGCGATAATTAGTACGCTACTGGACACCATATTATTTTAGTTTTTTTTTTTTTTCATTGAAAATAAACCAGGATATCGTGGGGTATATCAAACAGTAGCATAAGATGCAAGATTTATTGTACAGGATGGTTTAGGTGCTTAAAGGTTGAAAAAAGTGGAGGTTATGAAAAAAAGTCGATATTGTTAAAACTAAGGCAGGTATAAAAAATTTGAGAAATTACTTTTTTTGCAGAAGATCATTGATTAAAACGCCGCATAGAAATAAAATTTAAAAAATTATCTGGGAAAGTTACAGATATTCAAAATTGGGATGAAAATCATGGACTTTTTTAACATAAAAAAAAGTAGAGATTTAAAAAAATTTCAAAATAGCAATTTTTTTCCCAAAAAGTCAATCTGTCAGCCCGTGAAAACCGAAGGTCGATATCTAGTCTGGTTCCAAAAATATCGAGCTTCAAAGTTAGGCGATATTTCCCTTGTTCGAAAGCAATTGTCCAGCAGTTTAGAATGCCCTTTTTTTTCTTCCAGATTCTTAAAGTTCTCGTTTTTCTGATTCAGATTGTATAATATGTAAATGTTTCTTTCAATAGTTTTGGAAATATCTAGAGTTTAGTTATTCAAAGACAGTAGTTTTTTGAATATTTATATTTTATCTTGATTTACCTGTTCACAAAAAAATCTGATAACGTGAATAGGTCTTTGAATAACTTAACTCCAGATATTTCCAAAACTATTGAAAGAAACATTTATATATTATATAATCTGGATCAGAAAAAACGAGAACTTTAAGAATTTGGAAGAAAATAAAGTGAATTCCATTAAAAAAAAGTGATCATTGACATATTTTTTCATTTTGTGTTGCTCATTTTTTCAATCTAATTTAAAATTCTGGTGGTTCAGATAAAATGCTACAACTTTTGTATTTACACCTTTCACGTATCACCTGTTATTACGGCTGCAGGTGGGTGTCAAAATATAGTGACTCACCCTGTACAGTGTGTCCCACTTAAGGACTGACCACTGTTTTGAAATATTTATGTTTCAATCGATTCAATTTTCAATTTTTTTGTCTCATATCTACTCGAATTTAGACTCATAATTTTAGTTCTGCGGCTGGTGTGCAGGGTGTCCATATTTATAGGCTCAAATTTCAATAGGTAGGTACTTACTATTAGGGATTTTTTTACAAAACATCTGATAGTAAATTCTTGTTTAGAATGGTCTAAAACCCAAATGTACCAATTTTAGTTTCAATACGATACAGGGCAAACACAACAAATTTTCAAAATTTAATGAATCAAACCGCAAAAATGTCATATTTTGAGACAAGCTTACTACAAGTTTTGGTTAGGGAAGTTCTAACACTATGTTGTATCAAAATTTGATGTTCTCAAGGCCTCAAAATATGACATTTATGCAGTTTGGTCCATTGAATTTTGAAAATTTGTTGTCATCACCCTGTATTGACTGTATTGTATTGAAATAAAAATTTGTACATTTGGGTTTTACACCATTCTAAACAAGAATTTGCTATCGGATGTTCTCTAAAAAAATCCCGAATAGTACTTACTGAAATTTGAGCCTATAAATGCGGACACTCTGTACACCAGTACAGCCGCAAAATAGTATATTAGAGAGTTGCATACACCATTTTTTCTACTGCTTATGATATTTAGATATGTCAACATTATGCTTAACTTTTAATAGAGATTTTGTAATTGAGTAATGCGTCCATACAGTTGAAGGTTTCATTTTTAGTTGTAATTCTTCAAAATATACTATCAAAACATTTTCTGAGAAGGATGATGTATTTTGGTGTTTCTCCAATCCATAAATTGTCCATATAATTTTTCGTAAATTTTCTTGGACCTGTCCGGTAGCTGCATTTGTCCCCCTTTCTGTAATTTCTGGAGGTGTTAGTAAAAATTCTTCGTTATCGCTCAATATTTCCATAATAATGCCTCATCCCAAACTTTAGGTAACTTTTAATAATAATTTGAAGTATTTTTTTTTATAAAATATTGTTTTTCGCTAAATTACCATGGGAAAGCTATGAACAGAGTGCTGTCAACATTCAAAAAAAATAAAATTATGAGCCTAATCAGTGCCAAATTCGAGTAGATATAAGACAAAAAATAATAAATTAAATCGGTTAAAAAATGAAAATTTTACAAGGGTGGTCAGTCCTTAAGCGGGACACACTGTAGGACGTAAACTTTGTTTCATGAGAGTTCATACTTTTTGCCTTCCTTTTTTAACAAATAGAAATTGCCTCAAACAACTCAATTACGTCAAAAACGTTCGTCGGCTCTTAAACCAGTAGTCATTAATTTTAATTTTTCTACGAACGTGCGGGAAATGGCTCTTCCCGCACGATTTGGAAGACTTTCTTCCCGCACCGGTGCGGGAATTTGAAATAATCATTGTGACATGGAATTGTTTGTATCGTTGATACACCTATACCTGTACCTTTACCTTTTTATAAATACCTATTAATACATTTTTAATTCTACCTTCTGCATAATCGCATTTTATTTAAATTAAACTATTCGTAACATCAGCTTTAGTATGCTCGTAGAAAAAATATAGTTCCTAACTCTTGCGGGAAGAAATTTCCGGCACTCGGGCGCTTCGCACTCTCGTGCCGGAAATTTCTCTTCCCGCACTCGTTAGGAAAATAGCTATTGTCAGAAAAATTGAATGTGTCATATAAATTAATCTACGACAATCCTTTTTTTTTTTCAAGTTGCGACGTGTTCGATATCAAAAGTATGAGCCCTCGTGAAACGTTCTTTAGGTAATTTATATTTTCGATAAATTCTCCACAAATTAAATCTTCATAATACAAACTTTGATAATACCTATACTTACATTTATAATATTGACAAGCGTCGCAATAGTTCTAACAAAATACAAACATGTTGGCTTCGAATGAATAAATTATTTCCTTGAAAGTAATGCATGCAATGCATTTTTGAAGAGTCGGACTTATTAAGCCGCCCAGCATACACAGCTTATGGGGCCGTACCTACTCTTTTCCTTTTTGCTTTTTTAAAAAGACATGGAGCTGAAACTTGGCACCGCATCTTTGCATACATTTTAACTAAAAATTTGCAAAATACATCGCATATGCAAACTTACGCGGTGAACTATTCAATATTCATACCGTAACGTTATAGTATAGTATACCGTCCTATAAGACGACGACGAAGACATTTGCATGACGGGGAGGATATCTTTATTTTAAGAACGCGATCGACACGGAATGCAATAAAACACATTTTTAGGATATACAGTAAATTCTTATTGGATAATAAAAACGCTCAATCGGGCGTAAAACGAAATGTTTGATGGCGTCTTAAAATTAAACGGTTTGATTAGGGAATGTCGATTTTATGTCTTTTCGCTTCATATATAGCGTATCCATTCCTTTTTGATTTGACGAAGAATTAAATAACATTGATTTCTTATTTAATTTCAGACCTCCAACAACGAAATAGTATACGCAGAGCTACAGCTGGCAAGGCCCAATTCTCTGGATCCGATCATCAAAAATGGCGGACAACAATTTCTACAGACTCAACAGTACGCCACGTTACGAAAAGGTGACGAGTCCACAATCTACACCCAAATTGATCACGGTAGAAGGCCACCACCGCCTATTCCAAATAGTCGAACTTCGCCAATTATTTCACCGGTAACGGCCATATTTCCCACCTCAAAACAGGGATTATATCATAGAGAAGTGGTCACGGTGCGGACTCCCTTGATGGGGTGTCAACAAGAAAGCTGCGTTTAAATAAGATTTTTTCAAAAATTGAATCAATATGGGTCCTTTAGTGGTATAAGAAATTTATTGTAAATAGGCGAGATGATAATGGGTCGAATTATTTATTATGTGAATAAGTGCATATCTTGAGACTGACGATTTGCAGGCAATAGAAATAATTTGAAACTTTTGCTCCTAGTTTCACTTGTTGAATAGATGTTACCATAGAAAACGCTTTCCTGAAAGTTTGTATGTTATATTATGTCCTTAATATTGTCTTTTCGTTAGCGGTTAGTGAAAGTCGTGAAAGATCTGAGCGGCTCATAAGGAGGCAGGATTAATGGACTATTTTCTTACAAAAAGCTGAAAGAATTTCTCCAGAAACGGTTCCAAATACTTTGTTTTACTTTCCAATTTGCAGAACTCTTGTTATGCCTTCTCATACCTCAATATGGATTGTTTATACAGCGATTTTAAGCTTATTTTGGCAACTTGCAACAATAAAATTGAATTCGGAGTTTCATCTAAGTTATTTGATTCTTGTAGGCAAAAAATTAAATTAATTCATATAAACGTCATAAACATTATTGTTGAATATCAGACAAGCGTATGTTTATATATTTATTTTCAAAGAATTTTCCCATTCACCTGGGCTTTCTCCGGCACGGGCGAACGAAAGATTATTTTTCGGTGTGGTCGCATATAAAAACTATATTTTATGAGCTAAACGGACATGAAATTGTAGTATTTTCGAAGAGGTATAATGCAAATGATTTTTTAAAGGTTGGCATTCAAGCCTTGGAGGAGAAACGGCTGAAGCATATAAATGTCTACATCGCTGTCCTCATGGAAACAAAAACAAGCAAACGGTATGGAAAAGAGCATTAATAATCATTAGAAAGCCCGAAAACAAACTCGCACCAACTGGAAAATATTAGATAAACGAATCGTTACCGCTTGCCACTTTCTTGTAGGGTGTCAATTTGGAAAATTGCTCACCCCCACCCGCGACCCCCTCAAAAATCCGAAATGGAAACGGGGGTCGAATCATCATTTCAAAGGCCTTTTGGTCCATATTCGAACTGACAAGTTTGAAGTTTCCGCTGAAGCCCCCGTTGATTTGTCAGATCCTTGAAGAAATTGTTTGTTCAACAACTAATCACAATAGTTAGGTTAGGTAAAGACCTTTAAAATAAAAATTGTCTGGTATAATATCAGAGTTAATTGCTTATTTTCACTGACCCTCATCATAACCAACAACAGGTTTAATTTTGAGCAGTTAAGTAAGGGCTGAAAAATCTTTAAGGATATATCATTTAACCCCCTGCCTATTTAGATTTTTAAGGGGATGCCTCTGGGGATAGTGGTTTTGAAGGACCGAGGTGAATTTTGCATAAAAATTCATCAATCTTCAAATAATTATAGTTGACTTGTTTCGGATATTTTTTCCGAAATATTTCGTTTCGAGATAATGGGGATGTGAGAAATTTAGAAAGTGACACCTGTACCTATGAAAAATTACAGAAAAACAGTGATTAGTGTGTATCTAAGGTGTGTATGGTCCCAATAGACCGATCTCCTTTTACCTCGACTGCGCGCGTCGCTTGTAGGCTGCAGGTGAGCGTCCAATGAGAAGCAGGTTTGTGACAGGCTTGCGTCATATTCTTATTCAGGGGCCAGTTCAGAATGAATCGTTCCTTCTTTCTTTGTAACGTGTAATTTGACAAAGAGCAAACTAATACTTTACATATTACTTGAACTCACCGCAATTTCGTTTAAGGTTATGTTAAATTATACTTGACATATTCCTTTGTAATTTCATTGAGCGATGTTGCCGGATGAAACATTTATCATAATAAAAGTGCAAACGATGTTTATCCACTTTAAAGCTCTTCTTTTGTCTGATTTGAGGCGTTGTAAAACACTTGACACTATATCACTTCTTTAATGTTATAATGTTCGATTTGTATTGTCTACATTTGTTCTACAACAATACAATCTGACTACACTGCAGCCTACGAGTTGCGCGCGCATGTCATTTTTATTGCTTTCTAACTTGTATTTATTACAATTAAGCTCTCTTTTTCCAATCATGCCAGATAGGTCTATTGGTTTTGAAATTACTTTATAAAGGATGAGCTACCTGCTACCTACTATACTGTATTTTTCCCCAGGATAGACACGACATTGGCAACATTGAAATTAATTGAAAACCTAAACAATGCCCTTTATTGATTCCAAAATGCTGTGTCCCTGCTGCAGTTGACGAAAATTTTACAGGATTGGAATCCGTTTTATGCTGAATGTCGTTAATATATTGTCATGATTTTTTAGGTTTGTTCAATTAAATCTTGCAAAAAAATATTAAAAATACCTGTTTTTTATATTTCATATATTTTTGTTATTACATTTCCACGGCTAAAAGCTGATTCCAACCCTGGAAAACGATAAGTCGACTGCAGAGACGGCATTTTGCAACCATTCAGTGCCAAGCGGCATTGTTTATGCTTTCAATGAAGTCAATGTCGTAGTCGCCGTTTTTAATATGACGTATGTAAGTTATTATTATTATTTTTTTTTTTCAATTCAAAGTCTCTCTTCATTTTAATTACAGTGATCGAGCGTCCCAACATTACTAACACCCCGAAATGCCAAACCTCCATTTGACTTGGTTTTTGATATAGGAAAAATTGTACCTGTACTTCTTCTTTTTCTTATCTGGTATTTGGCTCTTCTCCACGAAGGGCAAAGAGACGTCTGGCTCTAGGATATGCTCCAGGTAACATATTCCATTCTAATTTGACGGCTTTCCGGTTTTTCTTCTCGTTCAGTTTTCTTCTTTCTTCTTTTTTCCTATGAGTTGAGGTTGTATATACTACACAAAAGGAAAACACAACACAGGTTGGGTAATTGTTTTTTTTTTCTGGAATGGAATTTTGGGATGTATTTTCTTTTTATTGACTTATTTTACTGCTTGTGATAATGCCTGATTGTGTGTTATAATGTTATTTCGTCGAGCGTTGTTTAGATCGTTCCAAGATATTAAAGGACTTACAAGTTTATTTTGTTATAATTAAGAAAAGATATCAAGCTTTTAATTGTGTTATAGTTTAATTAAAGATCGTGATAATTGAAAGGGAGGCTGGGTGCCTGGATTCTATTATGTGCCAATACATATAGACTGTGAGATAGGGGCTGTTTAGTGGAGTCATTTTTTTTTGTCTGGCATTTTGAGGGCTGAATGTGGCTACTAAGCTGATGAGAATATGGGTGATTTTAATGCCGGCCTCCCATTCGAAAATTTGCAGAAGAAAAAAATATATCCACTGAAGAGAAAGTGTCCGGTTCGCATTCTTGTTATTGTTGTTATATGTCGTCTATCTATGTATGGATATTTTTTTAACCATGTTGATCTGGGTAAGCTGTCTTGCAACTGGGCATACCACCTGCCTTTATGTCTGAGTCAGTCTTTCCAAGCCGATTCGTGCTCTTTGGAAATCTTTTCTTTGATGGCAGCCAGTATGTTATTTTTGTTTAGAGGTAGGTTTTTTGAGACATTGAGTTTTTTGCCAATATATGCCAACTTGTCGAACGTTTCATTTCCAGGGATTCCAACGTGACTGGGTATCCATGCCAATTGGATTAGGGTTTCACGGTGTTCAAGAAATTTCTTGTTCTTGACTTGATCTTGACTTAAATTCAAGAAAATTTCAAGTCAAGAAATCTGAAACTGTTTTCAAGACAAGTCAAGATTCCCTATTTAAGATCAAGATTTCTTGAAAAGAAAGCAAGAAATTTTTGAAATTAACAGTTTTATGTGATAGTATATTGAAATACAAGTTGCAGGCTGCCACAATAGCCTTCTGCAACGTGTGTTTTATACTATTTTCTCGATTTTGGTGTGCGAATGTCATTATTCCCGCACGCAAAATCGCTGAAGAATGAAGCTCATTCTTCACCGATTTTTAGTTCTGTTTCTTCTGTTTGATTCTACAGTAAGTAAATATATTTGATCATTGTTATTGTAAGTCTTTTTATATCTTGGACGATCTATGTTGGAATTTTCATCTTTGAACTTGTTTATTTCTAGTTGACCTTGGTCAATGTTATTTGAAGAATTATTACTAATAATTTTTAAATTTGCATCGGAATGTAACAGGGGACGCCCCCCTGTGACGTTCATAACGCTCATTGTTTGAAAAACAACTATTTGTTTGTATTGAAGTGTATTTTATGGGTGAAAAGATTAAAAATATGGAAAATGAATGTTAGTGGAACTCACCAATTCTCTCAATTGACAAAAATTCGCCGTCGATTCGCAAGCATTCGTGATCTAGCTGCTGCCTTCACCGAGGTTCGCACCACAGCCCTCCCACCTACCTGTACTTGTTCTGAAATACGAGACTATTTCCATGCATTCCAACAAAAAATCTGTTAGTACAGTAAATCGGTACTTTTGCTGCAATTTTTTGGCAAAACGCTTTTTTTAAAAAAAAAAAAAGTTATCTTTGCATCTAGTGCGCGAAATGCTACTTTGGTGATCGAGATCTGATTTTTTTAACGAGGCGCAGCCGAGTTAAAAAAATAGTCGAGATCACCAAAGTATTTCGCGCCCGAGTTGCAAACAATATTTTTTCTACAACTTCATTTAAATATCGATCATTCGAAGACAAAATTGCATTCTCAATCAAAGGTAGATGAATTTTAATTATTTTTGGTTTCCTGACAGGTATGGGTCACCATGACACCAGTGTGCACTAGTGCGCGAAATAGCTAGTTCGCGCACGGCGTCATGGGAACCTTAAAAAATCATTACCTGGGAAAAAAAGTGTCACTTCGCAAACTGTCATAAGTGTGTAAAAAAAAATGTTAAGGACCATGGGTGCGTTAAAAATCTGAGTTTTCGGGCAAATCACCCTTGTACTAACTTCACCCCATATTGAAAGGTTTGAAAAACCACATTTTGCCAATTTTCTCCACTAATAATAAATTTACAAAAAAACTACGAGAGACCTTTTTTGTTTATTATT